GTTCAGTCTTGGGCCCCTTACCTTAGGAAGGACATTGAATTGTTGGAAAGGGTTTAGAGGAGGGTAACTAGAATGGCGCCTGGGATGTAGTGTTTGTCATATGAGAAGAGATTAAAATCTCTGAAATTGTTTTTATTGAAAAAAAAGGAGTTAAAGGGGATCTGATTGAATTGTCTAAGATTGTAAAGGGAATTGATAGTGTTGATGCATCATCTTTTCTCATACTTAACGGCGAGATAATAATAGGACTAGGGGACACAAATATATATTTTGGCAAAGTAAGAGTCATCTTCAGTTAAGACAGCTTTGTTTCTCTAACAGGGTGCAGTGGCGGATCCAGGGTTTTGAAAACAGGGAGGTGCGTTGATTCTGAATGTAAACGAGGAATTTTCGGGACTTCCCTGGTAGGGGTTAAATGGATTATTTAGATTTGTTAAAATGTTTGCTAGATGTTGTTGTTATTGCTTTTTTATTTCTTTTATTCAATATGAAATTTCACTACAAAGATCCAATTTTTGCAATTATATCGATTTTATTTTCAAAATGGAGGGTACCAGGTTTGTATATTCACCAGAAAATGCACAGGGCAATAATAGCTTACGCACACACACACACACACTTATATATAGCAAGTACTCACAAGGCCTGGCTCTAGTCCTCTGTCATATAGATTCGGTCTGTCATCCTCTTGAAATGAGATGGACAGACCTTGAAATCACAACAATTCGTATTGTTAAATGCCTCTTTTGCATGAAGCATTCCAATCAGTGTTGATGTTGAGAGTTGATTTCTAGTTTTGGTTTTCACCATGTTGATTTGTGAGAACATTCTCTCAACTGACGCACTGGAGTGATGCAAAGTCAAGAGTTTCTTCATAAAATTTCCAAGTAAAGGAAATAATGGAAAATTACCTCCTTTCTTAATGTTAGAATCAAAACTGAGTATCACTTAAGTCTTACTATGTCAAGTTTTGTATTTCTTAGCAAGTGCCATTCACTGTCTAAACCATTTATATCAGACATTAGTACCAGCTTCGGAAAAATGGAATGTCAATGGAGCAATAGAATCAACAGTTTTCTGAAAAATACTTGCAGGGTTCATTGATTTTAGGTTTGTGAACAATGTGTTGTTACATATTACAATTTCAAATGGTCTGAAATTGAGTTAAATGATACTTTAAATTTAGTAGTTAAATTGTACTTTGAATTTAGCAGTTAAGTAAAAGCCGATACATAGGCAGTTTATGATATTTGCCAACAAGATTGATACACACAAATTTTCTTTTTAATACAAATGTTTTAATATACAAACAACAATACAATTTGTAATAATAGTTATTACAAACAATGATTTATATACAAAAATTTTACACACTTTCTCGAAATTTCAGTTTTATATAACAATACTGACGCTAACACAAGCGTTTACGTACACACATATATTGTTCATTCTTACTCTCGAAAATCTTCTACAACTTTGGGGAATAGGCGGGAGTTTCGCAATACATATTTAACACTACAAACTATGTATGTTTCTAAATATAAATTTAATCTAAGCAAACATCGATAGAAAAATAAATATGTAATAATAAATCCGTCACAGTGTCCAACAAATTAAATCTTTTTGTTATCTGAGAAACACTTTCAATATAGAAATCTAGACATTTCAGTCTAAAGTTTGTAAGCTGTTGTTCATCACGTCCATCTTCAGTCTGAAGGGAAACTGTTATTTGGCCACCCAGGAATATTTCCTCAAGAGGGCGAAAGTTAGCTGGATCTATAAAATTGGCACATGATATGGGAATAATTTTTAAGTAGACACAATAGAGGAGCTCTACTGTGTAGTACATATATCTTGGGTTCTTGTGATTGCAATTCTTGTTTTAGATTGTTAAACAGAGGCAAAACATAGTCTAGAAGTTCAAGATAAAGTTTTGTTGAAAGATCATTCAGTTTATGCAAAATAGACTCTGTAATTAGTATTCGGTCCTCCATAGATGCATGAGTAAAAAAGAGCTTCAATGCTTTCAGCTGATCAAGTATTCGTTTGACAAAACTGTGAAGTGACAACCAACGTGTCTGACATGAGTGAAACATTTTATGTGGCTTAACAGTGACAAACTCTTGAAACGCCTTCAAGGCTTGGGATTGTTTAGGTGAAAGAAAATAATTATGTATATCACGAGCCATGTTTTCAATACCTCTAAGCAATGTTTTACATGCATATGATGCACAAAAATAGAATGAGTAGCGTATGCATTTCATTACAAAAGGATTAGGTATATTAGCTTTGAGCAATGTTGAAAGAAAATATTTTTTACCCATCAGAACACTAGCCCCATCTACAACAAAACCAATTATATTTTCCTTGTATGGTATATATGAAATATTCATTACAGATGTTATTTCCTAACATAATTGCTGTATTATTTTCGACAGGTATTAATGTTAAGAATGAATCTTGAACATCCACACTAGTCAAAACTCTGACAACAAGGGCTAAATGATTGATACAGCCCTTATCTGTTGACTCATCAACAATGAGAGAAAATGACGAGTTTTAAGTCATGTTTTAAGTCATGCAAATTTTCATGAATTTCACTACCTAACACATTTTTTACAATACAGGTACACTTTATTTGCTTTGCAATCTCCAAGTCAGGACATACAAACTGCATTAAGAGAACCATATGATCGATAATACTGAATGGAATGCTGCAAGCTTTCTTTAACCTTCTTTTATCATTCTTTTCTGTCGTTTATGCTCGCTTGTACTCGGCATATTGAAAACACTTACAACAATCTTTATCAAATTCACTGACTTTTTACGTTTAATTCCAGCATCATGCTTTTATAATTCAGATTTTCCTGCTTTACCATCTGTGTTGCAAGCTTTGTAGTAAAAATACAGGGGGGGCTTATTACTTCTACTAATCCAATTTTTAAATTTAGGATCAATTTCCCATTTGTCAATCTTGTTACATATCTCCTTGTTTGTTTCCAGTAGAAATTCTTTCCGAGGATCTTCAGCGATACTAGTTCTTTCTTTCTGCATAGCAGAAGGTTACATACACAAACTTCACTATATAACAGAAGGTTACATACACATAGTTCCTTCTGTAGCAGAAGGTTACTGTTACGTATCTGCTTGTTTGTTAATTTCCGGTAGAAATTCTTTCCGAGAATCTTCAATGATACAAGTCCTTTCTTGGTTAAACCAGTTTATTCTTCCTCGATACAAACTTTTAGTACACAGTAGTTCCACAATCAGCACGTTTCTCGTCACTTTAAACTTAACAACTTTTATAATACATGCAATAATTCACAGCGATTCACAATCTCGATAACTTCTCTTTGTTCATTCACCCTGCTGGCTTTCTCTGCCAGGCTTATATACTAACAAAGAAGCGTCTCGATCACACTCAAGCTTCCCCGATAATTTGAGAAACGCAGTCATGCATGCACTAGCAGAATCACGTGACTTCCGCTGTCGTAACACTGCCCCTTCCTTAGTATAGTTTATCGCGAACAATAGCCACTTAAATTAAACCAATAGATAATTAACAATAACTTAATTAAACGTACAAAATTTACAAACACATAATTAAAATTCAACAATGTCTCTTAATTTTACGGGACGTTTCTTCTTCCGCACTGGTCTCCGTCTCGTTGGCTTCTGCTTCACGTGGGGTTCATCTGCTCCATCAGGAAATGTCCTATTATCGGTAACAGTCACACCAGTGGTAGTAACTTCATCAAGGGCTTCATTGTTTCCCTTCTCAAAACCGGGTAGAGTTTCTTCTTCGACAGTGGCTTTTTCAGGTGACACATCATTTGTTCTGTTGTTCACTTCATCCCAACTGAAATGTCCTGGACCATGATAACGCCAAAGCCTGTTGGCATGCACCAACTTTGGCTTACTTCGCCGACCACATTTTATCCAGAAATTCACGTCTGAGAGACGATCCACTACGTCATATGGGCCTTCCCATGGAAAACACAGCTTATGAAAC